TAATACACAGACCTGACCGGAGAGGTGAGGAGGATTCTGGGAGGCCACATGACATCACTCTTATCTTTATTAATAATACACAGACCTGACTGGAGAGGTGAGGAGGATTCTGGGAGGTCACATGACATCACTCTCATCTCTATTAATAAAACACAGACCTGACCGGAGAGGTGAGGAGGATTCTGGGAGGTCACATGACATCACTCTCATCTCTATTAATAAAACACAGACCTGACCGGAGAGGTGAGGAGGATTCTGGGAGGTCACATGACATCACTCTCATCATCTCTATTAATAAAACACAGACCTGACCGCAGAGAGTGAGGAGGATTCTGGGAGGTCACATGACATCACTCTCATCACATGACATCACTCTCATCTATTAATAAACACAGACCTGGCCGGAGAGGTGAAGAGGATTCTGGGAAGTCACATGACATCACTCTAACAAAATTCTTAACCTTGAAATCTTTGAGCTCCTGAAACGTAGTGGCTGTTCTGCGATGCCATTTGTGAATCAATGCTAATAATAAAGGTTTTGAACTCTTGGACTGTTTGCTTGGCTTTCTCATTGGAATTTGTAGAAGTGAATCTTTAAATCTAGGCCCGTTGTTTGAGGGACACTCTATTTTGTTGAGACTTTCTTCACCAGAGACACTATGCCTTATTACATTCTGACCAGTCTTCAGATTGTATGACTCCAGTGCCTCATCTCTAAATGGTCCTTTCCCTTATTCCCACTGTGAACTTAATATGTGAAAGTCAAAATTCCTTAAAGATCTCTTGACTGCGTCATTGGATCCTTCACTGGTAGAGTGTGTGGAGCCTCATGTATCAGCTGGAAGAATCTCAGCTGGTGTCTCGTATTAGGCTTTTGTCCATACACATGTGTAGAGCACTCTGGTTATGGTGCTGGTCTGCAGATCTTCTCTTTGGACTAAACCTTCATGTTATTATCATGGATGTCAGTGGAGGTAACAGCACCTACCTGCCTTGGTGTAAAAAGTCAAGGAAAAGGTCTTGGTTCACTGGCCACTAGCAAGGTATAGGGTAAGAAGCATTTAGAATCTGGGGGCCACTTTCCACAGTGGGTGGACCTTTGCTAATTCTTGTGGACTCTTGGTTAGTTTGCCCTTCAGGCAGTGCAGAAAATGATAGTCCAGGGATACATGCGGAGCCTTCACCACCAATTCCAGCTTCAACTCCTCACCTTAAACCCTCCTGTGTTACCAGACTTACCTCTGCCCTTTGGGGGTCTCCATGAGCAGGGTGTCTTTGTCCCAGCTCTCATGTCAGTCTCAGGGGTTGTATTCCAACCTGGTCACTGTTCTTTCCCAGAGGAACATCTGCCTATTTTGGGGCCTGTATGCCTCAATGTTTTACACAGGATCCACCAGGTCTACCATTCCTTCACTTTTTGTGGGGGACTCTCTGGCCTCTGTGGTTACCTAGGGCACTTACCTACAGATTGCTGTGCTTACAGTGCTCTGATGCTTCATTCTTGGCCCTGCACATGGAGTATTCTCTAGCTCCAGCATTGGTCCTAATTCATTTTCATGGCATCCTCATTATGGGATACATAGGTGACCTCCTGTGAAGGAAACAGCTGGAGCGGGCTCTCTGATTGTCCAGAATCATCAAAGATTTGCACAGGAATCCACTCATTGCCAGCAGACAGCTCAGACCTCCTGTAGAAGAATCTACAGTATATCCACTCTCGGGTCCTTGTCGTTTGGTCCGAGAGTTACAACCTCCTCAGCTGTTGCGGCAGAGCCATGTGTCAATGGATAACCCACTCCAAGGCCACCGTTATTCACCGGTCTCTACCCAGACTGTCCCCAATCTTGTTGTGGGACATGTTGACTCAGTTTCTGAATAGACGGAATTGCCTGACCATGGTGATCTGGTAGTTCTTGGCCTGCTGTATCAGTCTCACAGCTCTGGAGTTTGGAAAGTCTTCTGGAAGATCCCATCATCAGAGACCTGTTACACCTTTTGGATCACCCACTTGACCTGGATCCAGCTGAACATTGCCACAATGCTGGTGATCCTCTACCCTCAACGAGGAACAGGAGTTCTTGGTGCGACAAGAGAGGTAGTCTGGATCCTGATGTGGGCAAAACTTAATTTCAGTCCCATTTGCTGTGTTCTTCTCAGATTCATCCAATCAGAGGTCAGGATTCCCCAACTGATTTCTGGACATGGGGGAGCAGTCCATACACTCTGGTGTTGCAGGTGGAGGATGCTGAACGTGGCCTCCTGACATCCTGTTTCAACAGCATGCTGAACAAGCTAATGTCCAAGTACAGTGATCCTCTATAGGTGGCGGGGAATGCTCTGGTGACTCCACGGGATCTAGAGAGCATACAGAAAGTATTCAGACCCCTTCGCTGTTCTCAGTGTTATGTTGCAGCCTGATACTACAGTTGTTTCAGTAATTGTTTTCTCATTAATCTACACTCAGTACCCCATAATGACAAAGTGAACACAGAACTGTGGAAATGTTTGCAAATTTATGTTACAAAGGGTCTGAATACTTATGCCAATGTGATCAGTTTTTTCATACATTTGCAGACATTTCTAAAATTCTGTTTTCACTTTGTCATTACGGAGTGAAGATTAATGAAACAAAAAATGAATGAAACAACTGTAGTATCAGGCTGCAACATAACAACATTGAGAACCACGAAGGGGATCTGAATACTTTCTGAATGTTTTGTAGGCACCCAGATACAGGCCTTTCCTCCACTAATGCTTCTTCCTCATCTGCATGACAAGTTGTTGGATAGCTTTCTGGTGATCTTCCCTGCTCCGGATTATCCAAATATTAAGTCTGCATTCTTCCTTGTTATTTCTTAGTAATAAAGTTAACTTTCTAACCCTTGCCTACACCTTGTATGGGGAGTCCCCGTGTGCCTTATGGTATGGGGAGTCCCCCGTGTGCCTTACGGTATGGGGAGTCCCCGTGTGCCTTACGGTATGGGGAGGTGTGCCTTACGGTATGGGGAGTCCCCGTGTGCCTTACGGTATGGGGAGTCCCCGTGTGCCTTACGGTATGGGGATGCAAGGGGACAATCCAAACGCACACGTTCCCCATGAAAAATGGCTCTGTGTGGGTGCTTCAGCAACCGTAACCGAACAGAATCAGCAAGGGAAAATATCACCAGGGAGGATCACCAATATGGGGCCAAAAGTTTTAATGAACAATCACATAGTTACAGGAAGGCAACGTTTCGGAGTCTTGCAGGACCTCTTTACAGGCAACGAAACGTTGCCTTGCTGTAACTATGTGATTGTTCATTAAAACTTTTGGACCCGTATTGGTGAGCCTCAGGGTTTTGGTATGGGGAGTCCCCGTGTGCCTTACGGTATGGGGAGTCCCCGTGTGACTTACGGTGGGGAGTCCCCGTGTGCCTTACGGTATGGGGAGTCCCCGTGTGTCTTACGGTATGGGGAGTCCCCGTGTGCCTTACGGTATGGGGAGTCCCCGTGTGCCTTACGGTATGGGGAGTCCCCGTGTGCCTTACGGTTTGTGGAGTTCATATGTTTTATTGTGTTTGTGCTTTGTGGCTTTTTGGGATGGAATCCTAGGTTTTCTGCACATTTTCAGGAACCACCAGTTGGTAATTCTTTCTTTTTCAAACTCTGAGAGGGCCTTCTTTTCCTTGCTTGGCCACAGTTCAGGCAGTAGGTCTATATCTCCTAGTTATGGACTATTTCGGTGTACATTCCACCCTTTTGACTGAATCAGGTAAACAAGCTTCTATGGTCTTATTGATTTTTTTGTTGCCTGTGAAGACACTACTTGATCTTCTGGCTTTTCAGGCATGATTCCCTTTGAAGGTCCCCATGTTTTTTGTTAGGGGAAAGTTGCGGCCTCATCTGGTGCCACCTTTGGATGTACAGTCCTTCTGACGGCTCTTGAGCTGCAAGTATCCCAGATTTTATATTTACATTGGGCCTGTTAGTGGTTGTTTGTTGTGTCCCTCAGCCCTCGGATGTCCCTAAAGTGGAAGACTCGCATGTCCCTCAACGGGTGAGAGAGAAAGTAGGATTTTTGTTCTCACCGTAAATCATTTTCCTGAAGTCCATTGAAGGACACTTGTCCCGTGTGTTTCTGATGTTGCTCTCGGTTTTGTTTTGCTACTACAGTACATCCAGAAAGTATTCCCAGCGCTTAACCTTTTGTTGCAACATTTTGTTATGTTACAGCCTTATTCCAGAATGGATGAAATTTGTTTTTTCCTCAACATTCTACAAACAATGCCCCATAATGACGTGAAAAAAAATTGTTTTGAAATCTTTGCAATTTATTAAAAATACAAAATGAAAAAAAAAAAAAAAAACATGTACATAAGTATTCCCAGCCTTTGCCATGACACTCACAATTGAGCTCTGGTGCATCCTGTTCCCACTGATCATCCTTGAAATGTTTCTACAACTTGATTGGAGTCCACCTGTGGGGACATTCAGTTGATTGGACTTGATTAGGAAAGGCATAAACCTGTCTATAGAAGGTTCCACAGATAACAGTGCGTGTCAGAGCACAAACCAAGCCATGAAGTCCAAGGCCACCACAAACATATTATTTTTCTTGATATATATTTTCAGGATTATGTTGTTGTAAAGAAACTCGACTACAACAGAAACCGCCCACCTAGATCAGTAGGAGAATGCAGGACTCAGGGCCCGGCTATGGATAAACCTTGTAAAAGAAAGAATGACCAGAAGATCCTGGAACTGACCAAGAAGATGATGGAGCTGCTGACAGGAGAGGTGAGCGGTGCCGGGAATTCTGGGACATTCTCCAGTAACAGACAAGGGATGTGTCTGGATGGTGACTATATCATTGTGTGTGTCAGGTTCCTATAAGGTGTCAGGATGTCACTGTCTATTTCTCCATGGAGGAGTGGGAGTATTTAGAAGGACACAAGGATCTCTACAAGGACGTCATGATGGAGGACCACCAGAAAGGACACAAGGATCTCTACAAGGACACCATGATGGAGGATCACCAGACTCTCCCGGCTCCAGGTAAGAACTATTTTTCCTTTGTGGTAGGGTTAGGGTTATGTACTTATGAAGATATTTTCATCCCTCACAGATTAGGAATTGTTCCCTTCATGCAGATCTCACATAGTACCCTTCAGAAACACAATATTTCTGTACAATAGATACAAGTGTTTGAGGTTCTTATGCTGCTTCTTGATTATTCATTAAATTCCTCATTCTAGTGGGAGAACCGGTAAAGAAGGAATCATGGCTGTTGCATTTATTAACTAATTGTTGAAATGTGTAAGCATCAAGGAGTCCTCGACCTGGAATTAGCATGCAGCTAGTGGGGTCCTAAGTCTGGATCAGAAGGGCAGATCTGAAGCCATTTTAGGGTTGATCCAGAGATTGCAGACTCCTAACCCTTCTTAACACTGACTTTCTTCTGATTTGTAGATTCAGAAATAGTCATTTGTACGGGACACTTGATCTTTATTCTTCGACCGTGGGTTCTATCCAGCTACCTTCAGGTGCTTAGACACTGGTGAAAAAGAAAGTTCCTGGGACATCCCCTCTATATTTCCTCCCACTCCCTGCTAGCCTAATGTTTTTGCTAGTGTCCTTAGGACCTCCTCTGTCTGTTTTTTCTCTCAGATGTTTTTTTTTATCCAGATTCCTGGCTCCACCGAACCACTGTGGCTACTTGCAGCTTTTAGAATGGTTGATTCCTTGAGTGAGACCCAGAGGAGTGTACCTTGACCACACAGGGATGAAGATGTGGGGCCAGCCTGTAGCGTTGCTTTGCGCACTGGATCCTGCGCAGCACTCACAGTGGCATGTGGTGCATCATATTGAGTTAGCCACAGGGTGCTATTCAGGTCCAGACTCATGGTCTGCTAGCAGTGGAATATATGTCTTTGAAGACACCTTCAGGGGGTATTTCCAGCATGGTGAGCGAAGCCAGTATGGGGTCCAATCTCTTATATCCTGCCACAAAGACATTCCCACAGTAAGTTCCCTTGAATTCTTTCCCAGGGTGCTGGCACTGCTATGCCTAGGCTTCAGAGGAGCGCTGGCTGAAACATTTAAGGCTGCATTCACACTTGAGCGAAGCTTGAATCTCCAAAAACGCTCAAACCTAAAAAAATCAATTGTTCCCTCTGGTGCCTGTTCACACCTGATCGTGCTAACAGACACCAGAGAGAACTGATTTTTTTAACTTTGAACATTTTTGGAGATTCGAGCTACAAATCTCTCAAGTGTGAATGCAGAGTAAATAATGATGTCACAGCCATGGCATGGGAGGACTGCCAGCTTTTTGATGATGTTTTCTCGTGTTTTGGTACAAATCTGTCATATTTTGCGCTACATTTCAGCCACTTCACTGCACATGTGTATACCCCTTTGGGGACATTCTTGCACTACATATGGCAGATCACAAGCTTAAGGCAAGACATGGATCCCAGGGAGGGCAGGATGGAAGTCTATCTCCATGGGGCCCCAGTACCCTTTATTGGGACAGTTGCCCCCAGTCTGAATACATGCCTCCCTCTCAGCTCCTTTGATCCTTTGCCTGCACAGCCTTCCTCCTGCTTCTCTAGGCAATGTCTGAATTCCACTTTGCCCTGTCATGCCGCACCTTGCCACCTACAGTTGCTCAAATGGCTGTCTGCCACACCCTTGATGTCTGGACTGAGCACATGACCCAAGACCCTAGCTGTGCCTTAAGAGATCCCTCCATTCACCAGCTATAACCTGTGGTGTTACACTTATGCGTAAACAGCTTGGTGGATCTCTTCAGCAGATCTCCAGAATGAGCCTCTTCTCCCTCCATATGCAGAGGATTCTCTGGTTCACATGCTAGTCAGCAGACCTTCCATTCAAGAAAGGCCCTTTCAAGGAAAATATCTGTTTGGTTCCACCTTGGATAAGTACAGTCAGGTCCATAAATATTGGGACATTGACACAATTCTAACATTTTGGGCTCTATACACCACTGGATTTGAAATGAAACAAACAAGATGTGCTTTAACTGCAGACTGTCAGCTTTAATTTGAGGGTATTTACATCCAAATCAGGTGAACGGTGTAGGAATTACAACAGTTTGCATATGTGCCTCCCACTTCTTAAGGGACCAAAAGTAATGGGACAGAATAATAATCATAAATCAAACGTTCACTTTTTAATACTTTAATACTTTAATACGTTGCAAATCCTTTGCAGTCAATTACAGCCTGAAGTGTGGAACGCATAGACATCAGCAGACGCTGGGTGTCATCCCTGGTGATGCTCTGCCAGGCCTCTACTGCAACTGTCTTCAGTTCCTGCTTGTTCTTGGGGCATTTTCCCTTCAGTTTTGTCTTCAGCAAGTGAAATGCTCAATCGGATTCAGGTCAGGTGATTGGCCATTGCAGAACATTCCACTTCTTTGGTGTCTTTTGCAGTCTGCTTTGGGTCATTGTCCATCTGCACTGTGAAGCGTCCAATGAGTTGTGAAGCATTTGGCTGAATATGAGCCGATAATATTCCCGAAACACTTCACAATTCATCCGGCTGCTTCTGTCAGCCGTCACATCATCAATAAATACAAGAGAAGCAGTTCCATTGGCAGCCATACATGCCCACGCCATGACACTACCACCACCATGATCACTGATGAGGTGGTATGCTGAGGACCATGAGCAGTTCCTTCTCCATACTCTTCTCTTCCCATCACTCTGGTACAAGTTGATGTCGGTCTCATCTGTCCATAGGATGTTGTTCCAGAACTGTGAAGGCTTTTTTACATGTCGTTTGGCAAACTCTAATCTGGCCTTCCTGTGTTTGAGGCTCACCAATGGTTTCCATCTTGTGGTGAACCCTCTGTATTCACTCTGGTGAAGTCTTCTCTTGGATTGGTGACTTTGACACACATACACCTACCTCCTGGAGAGTGTTCTTGATCTGGCCAACTGTTGTGAAGGGTGTTTTCTTCACCAGGGAAAGAATTCTTCGGTCATCCACCACAGTTGTTTTCCGTGGTCTTCCGAGTCTTTTGGTGTTGCTGAGCTCACTGGTGCGTTCCTTCTTTTTAAGAATGTTCCAAACAGTTGTTTTGGCCACGCCTAATGTTTTTGCTATCTCTCTGATGGGTTCGTTTTGTTTTTTCAGCCTAATGATGGCTTCACTGATAGTGACAGCTCTTTGGGTCTCATCTTGAGAGTTGACAGCAACAGATTCCAAATGCAAATAGCACACTTGAAATGAACTCTGGACCTTTTATCTGCTCATTGTAATTGGGATAATGAGGGAATAACACACACCTGGCCATGGAACAGCTGAGAAGCCAATAGTCCCATTACTTTTGGTCCCTTAACAAGTGGGAGGCACATATGCAAACTGTTGTAATTCCTACACCGTTCACCTGATTTGGATGTAAATACCCTCAAATTAAAGCTGACAGTCTGCAGTTAAAGCACATCTTGTTCGTTTTATTTCAAATCCATTGTGGTGTATAGACCCAAAAATGTTAGAATTGTGTCCATGTCCCAATATTTATGGACCTGACTGTATATAAAGGAGATCATGGGATGTAAGAGTGTTTTTCTTTTTCAGAAAGACTTCTCCAAGGAGATCTGCTACTCTTTAGACTAGAAAAATGACGTTTCATCCCTCTGAGGCCTTCAGTTCCAAGCCAAGGTCTGGAAAAACCTTTTGTCAGAAGACGTGGTCCTCCAAGTCCTCTTCCCAATGAAGAATGAGCGGGGAGATGTCTGTCTGCTCTTATGGACCTCAAACTGGAATTTCGGACTGTTCCTCTTCCCTGCTTTGTGTCCTCAGATTTGCCTCTCTCCCCACAGATTCAGGCAGATCTTTTTGCTGCTATTCAGTGGGTTCAAAATTTCTCCATGGAATTGGTGAGATCGGTCATTATCTCCTTCCTTCCAGGAGATTTTATGGCCTCAATAGATGTCCTGGGATTACTTGCTTATTTCCCTGACATCTGCATTTTAAAGTAGGTGTTCAGCATTATCAATTTGTCGCCCTTCCTTTTGGCCTGAATACAGCCTCCTAGGTTTTCCCAATTTCCTTTGGTGACCACCCGTCACTTGGACTACTTTTGGACCTCCAATGGGGAAGATCCTGTACCTTACAACAAAGATAATAAAATGTTTTCCAGTAAAATCCATTTCTTGCAGCACTGTACAGGACACAAGTCCCTCCCCTCTATCTTATCTTCCTATTGGTTGCTACAAAACTAAGGCTAGCTGGGAGTGGGAGGGGTTATAGAGGGGGTCCCCCTGCAGCTGGTAGTGGGAGGGGTTATAAACTGGATGTCCCTGCTGAGAGGGGTTATATAGTGGATGTCCCTGCTGGGAGTGGGAGGGGTTAAGAGAGGGTGTCCCTGCTGGGAGTGGGAGGGCTTATAGAGAGGGTGTTCCTGCTGGGAGTGGGAGGGGTTAAATAGTGGATGTCCCTGCTGGGAGTGGGAGGGGGTATATAGTGGATGTCCCTGCTGGGAGTGGGAGGGGTTATAGAGAGGGTGTTCCTGCTGGGAGGGCTTAAATAGTGGATGTGGGGAGGGCTTAAATAGTGGATGTCCCTGCTGGGAGTGGGAGGGGTTAAAGAGTGGATGTCCCTGCTGGGAGTGGGAGGGGTTAAATAGTGGATGTCCCTGCTGGGAGTGGGAGGGGTTAAATAGTGTATGTCCCTGCTGGGAGTGGGAGGGGTGGGATGGGGAGTATATAGTGGATGTCCCTGCTGGGAGTGGGAGGGGTTATATAGTGGATGTCCCTGCTGGGAGCGGGATGGGTTATAGAGGGTGTTCCTGTTAGGAGTGGGAGGGGTTATAGAGAGGGTGTTCCTGCTGGGAGTGGGAGGGGCTATATATGGGATGTCCCTGCTGGGAGTGGGAAGGGCGATGGTGGGGATGTTCCTGCAGCTTTCTTTCTTTTCCAGCATCCAGTCCCTGGAAGGTAGATGCATATAACCCAGTGGAAAGGTTGAAGATCTCATGTCCTGGACTTGACTCCAAGAAATGGATTTTCCTGGTAAGTCAGAACTGTTATATTCTCTCTACAGACCAATCACAAGTCTCATTTCTCTTCCAGATAAATGTCTGTCCAGAGGTAAACCGGTGGGATCGCCTTCCTCCATCACCGACAAATATCAGAGGGAGGTGACACCAGATAGAGATGTTTTACCTCCGATGTGGACAAGCAAGGAATCCGAGGGGGAGCGAGGAGCAGAAGTCCGGGACACGAGGAACGAAAGGACAGTAGAAGACGTATCTTTGTCCCTGACACAATCTACATCGATGGACTTGGATGGTCACACACCTACCAATCTTGTCATGTATACCTCCGCTATGACGTATGACGACACTTGTGAAGAGGATAACCTATCGGATACCTATAATTCGCCATCTCCAGAAGACACACCATGTCGGTTGGTGTATATTAAGGAGGAACCCATCTCATGTGAAGAGGAAAATCTGACAGATAACGATTGCTCCATCCCTACAGATCTCACCCAGTATCCTGGCCATAGGATGCAGGAAGACAATCCTCTCTCAGACATGTATAGCCAGACCAGATATTCCTCAATGTACATCGGGGCCTTGGTCTCATGTGAGGACAACGATGTCTACACTCCGGCAGACTACTTATCGACATGTAAGGAGGAGCATTTGTCTGGAGAAGAAGATCATTTCCCAGACGTGTATAGAGTGTTGGATCGCACACAAGGAGGACAATACGACGAATGTGGAAATCAATTCTATTTCAGCGCCAAGTCTGTCAAAGCAGAAAAACTCCAGATAAAGCCGTTTTCTCCGTACAGATGTGACTTCACCGACGCGTCGTCTCTCTTTGTGCATCCACGCACCCCCGCCAAGGACACGTCTTACGTGTGCGCCTACTGTGGGAAATGCTTTGCATACTACACGCATCTTATGACGCATCAGAGGATCCACACGGGAGAGCGCCCCTACGCCTGTTTCCATTGCGGGAAGCGCTTTGCGCACAACTCAACCCTGGTCACACATCAGAGGATTCATACGGGGGAGCGTCCTTATGTCTGCTTCCACTGCGGCAAATGTTTCACCAAAAAATCCAACCTCACCACACACAACCGCATTCACACCGGGGAGCGCCCCTATTCCTGCGCCAAATGCGGAAAACGCTTCGGCAGTAAAAGTCACTTCAACCGCCATGTCAAAATTCACAAGAGAGACTCCAGCTGCTTCTAGATTATTCTTCAACTAAAGGGCAATCGGTGGTCTTGGTGCACACATTCCAGGATGAATGAAACGTGTTATCCTAGGACATACGTGATGTGCTGCTAGAGCCACACGTGGATGAGCAATGACTGCACACAGCCACAGCCACAGAAATCTCCCACTGATGGGCAATAATATGGCACGGTCCATTCATGTATATGGTACACTCCATTCATAAATACGGTACAGTCCATTCATGAATACAATACACTCCATTCATAAATACGGTACAGTCCATTCATAAATACGAATACAATACACACTCCATTCATAAATATGGTACACTCCATTCATAAATACACTCCATTCATAAATACGGTACAGTTCATGAATATGGTACACTCCATTCATAAATACAGTACAGGTACATAGTTCATGAATATGGTACACTCCATTCATAAATACGGTACACTCCATTTCATGAATATATGGTACACTCCATTCATAAATACGGTACAGTTCATTCATGAGTATGGTACACTCCATTCATAAATACAGTCCATTCATAAATACGTCCATTCATAAATACGGTACAGTTCATTAATATGGTACACTCCATTCATAAATACAGTACAGTCCATTCATAAATACGGTACACTCCATTCATAAATACAGTCCATTCATAAATACGGTAAAGTTCAGGAATATGGTACACTCCATTCATAAATACAGTCCATTCATAAATACAGTACAGTTCATTCATGAATATGGTACACTCCATAAATACAGTACAGTCCATTCATAAATACAGTCCATTCATAAATACGGTACACTCCATTCATAAATACGGTACAGTCCATTCATCTCTTAGACTGTAAGCTTGAAAGAGCAGGGCAACCCCTCGTGTATTGTATGTTACTGTATTGTCTCATGTACTGTCTCCCACTATACTGTACAGCGCTGAGCAAACCTTCTGGCGCTATATAAATACTGTATAATAATAATGACTACGGTACAGTCCATTCATAAATACGGTACACTCCATTCAGGACTACAGTACAGTACACACTCCATTCATGACAACGGTACAGTCCATTCATAAATACGGTACAGTCCATTCATAAATACGGTACAGTCCATTCATGAGTACGGTACAGTCCATTCATGAGTACGGTACAGTCCAATCATGAATACGGTACAGTCCATTCATGTATATGGTACACTCCATTCATACAGTCAGGTCCATAAATATTGGGACATCGACACAATTCTAACATTTTTGGCTCTATACACCACAATGGATGTGAAATGAAACGAACAAGATGTGCTTTAACTGCAGACTGTCAGCTTTAATTTGAGGGTATTTACATCCAAATCAGGTGAACGGTGTAGGAATTACAACAGTTTGCATATGTGCCTCCCACTTCTTAAGGGACCAAAAGTAATGGGACAGAATAATAATCATAAATCAAACTTTCACTTTTTAATACTTGGTTGCAGATCCTTTGCAGTCAATGACAGCCTGAAGTGTGGAACGCATAGACATCAGCAGACGCTGGGTGTCATCCCTGGTGATGCTCTGCCAGGCCTTTACTGCAACTGTCTTCAGTTCCTGCTTGTTCTTGGGGCATTTTCCCTTCAGTTTTGTCTTCAGCAAGTGAAATGCTCAATCGGGTTCAGGTCAGGTGATTGGCCATTGCAGAACATTCCACTTCTTTGGTGTCTTTTGCAGTCTGCTTTGGGTCATTGTCCATCTGCACTGTGAAGCGTCCAATGAGTTGTGAAGCATTTGGCTGAATATGAGCCGATAATATTCCCAAAACACTTCACAATTCATCCGGCTGCTTCTGTCAGCCGTCACATCATCAATAAATACAAGAGAAGCAGTTCCATTGGCAGCCATACATGCCCACGCCATGACACTACCACCACCATGATCACTGATGAGGTGGTATGCTGAGGACCATGAGCAGTTCCTTCTCCATACTCTTCT